AGGTAAGTAAGAATGCATTGTTTTGATGTAAGGAATATTATCAGTGTTTGTGGCTAACTAAGTTTAACATGAAGATAGAAGAAGACTGTCCTTTTCCCCCATTCCCCATTTTGGCCTTGTACTACATTTTGTAAATAAATTGCAAATAATTATCGCTCTTTGCTATGGTACCTAGACTTTATGAATTTCAGTACAGTACTAGACTGGCATTGGGATCTTATCAATTTACAGTTGATCTGGCTAGATATAGCCTTAACTTCTATGCTAAGTTTCTTTTCTCATACTTCTCGCTTGTGGAACTCCCTTCCAGCTCCATGCTTTCTAGCAAACCTTAATCTCCAAAAAGGTAAATGCAATGTCTATCACTATCTAATGCCCTCCTGATTACTCCTTTTTTCTTCCTGCTCATTAGTAAAGTTTCTGTTCCTAATTCTTCCACACCCAGCAACCTTGTGAGTATTAGTGTCTTTACTACCTTGCATGGGGTGAAACCGAAACAAAAAATTTTTACTTGGCAGAACAGGGATTAAGAAAGATAGCAAAAAGACAAAACTTACTAAGTGCTACAAAGGATAGGAGGTTGTGGAGAGCTATGATCGCTTATGTCAAAAGACACAGCACACAAGAAAAAAAGAAGAAGAATGTCATTTCTTCTATGTGCTGTGTCCCTTCAGGATGTGACTGATCATGGCTCTCTACAACCTCCTATCTTTTGTAATTCAGAATAATGTTTTTCTTTTTATTACCCCGCCCGCTTGTTCTGCCATCCATTTCCACAAGATCATTAGTTAGGTTACTTTACTGTCTCACACTGCCCCTCTTGCCTTCAATATGTTAAGAACTCCAAGCCCTCTTTGCTCATGTGAAATTTTTGGGACACATAAGGAAAGAGGGCCTAGAATATTCGATACTTACAGGACATATTGAAGGCAAGCGTGAAAGAGGAAAGCTGTGCATAGCATACCTAAGAAGCTTGTGTAAATGTTTGGTTGAATAGGGATTAGGAAAAATAGCAAAAAGACAAAGTTTACTAAGAGCCACAAAAAACAGGAAATTGTGGAGAGCCATGATCACCAATGTCCTGAAGGGACACGGCACACAGAAGAAGAAAAAGAACTCATGTAAATGGATGGCAGAACAGAGTTTAGGAGAATTAGCAAAATGACAAAATTTACTAAGAGCTACAAAAAACAGGAAATTGTGGAGAGCCATGATCACCAATGTCCTGGAGGGACATAGCACATAGAAAAAGAAAAAGGAACTCACGTAAATGGATGGCAGGACAGAGTTTAGGAGAATTAACAAAATGACAAAATTTACTAAGAACTACAAAAAACAGGAAATTGTGGAGAGCCATGATCACCAATGTCCTGAAGGGACATGGCACATAGAAGAAGAAAAAGGAACTCATGTAAATGGATGGCAGGACAGAGTTTAGGAGAAATAGCAAAATGACAAAATTTATTAAGATGTACAAAGTACAGGAGAGCCATGATGACAGTGTGGGATGTGCAGGTAGTGTAATGGTTATCGTGATGGAAATTGGAATCAACAATATAGTTCAAATAGCTGAGTTATGTTAACTTTTGCATAAATACCCTTGGGAAAGGCATAAATCCATCTCTTCTCCCTGCATCTATGGGTTAAATAACAGGATAATCTAGGCTCTTCAACCTTGGGTTACAACCAGTCTAAGAGTAAAAAATTCCAAACTGTGATAAAGGCAATAGGGAAACCACTATATTTCTTAATGTGGAATAAATTCACAGATCATTAGGAAATTGTGGAGAGCCATGATCTCTTATGTCTTGAGAGAACATGACATTAAAAAAAAATGTTTCCAGCTGGATAATCTGTGTCAGGTGAAAGATTTAATTAGGACTTTAAAAAAGTTCATTTTAAAAATATAAACACTTAATAAATAATCCAACTTTTTTCCAGTATTCAGCGGAGGAGATTCAGATTATCATTTGAGAGTGCTTGAGACCCTATATATTAAGTCTTAGCAGCCTTCCCTCTGTAATTAAAGGAACAGTTGCTGAGCATAAATGTAATATATCTGTGATTTAAACTGCTTATTCTCTTTCTTTTTTTTTTTTTTTTTTTGTTTTTTTTAGTCATGGTTATATTTGTTTTGTCCTCGATTGAGCTCTGAAGAGCAATTAGTAATAACTGGTTCAGTCAGTTATGTGCCATGCAGGATACATGCTTAGGCAATCATGTATCTTTTGATATATGACTGACAAGGCAAATTTTTTTCCCACAGTAGGTTGCCATTTCTTTCTGAGGTAGACCAGTTGCCATCCTAGACTATAGAACCCGGTCTGTCCTGCTATTTACTCTTAGCTGGGGGGGAGAGAAGAAGAGGACTCATACCTATCCCAAGGGTATTTGCATGTAAGTGAATGTAATGGATTCAATTGGAATTCGAACTTGGCTCTCCAATTCTTCAATCCAAGCCACTATCCATTACTCCACCATACCTTCTTTTATTTATATATATATATATATATATATATATATATATAAAAATAAATAAAAAATAAATAATATGACATGTATATATTCACGAGACATTTCCGCCACACTTCTAATCTTTAAATTTCAACATATAAATGCATATGTATAGACACAACACCACCCGTATACATACATATGTCATATCCGAAACTGCCCACATATGTTTATATATGTATGAGTCCCGACAGACGCCCAAGTATGTATATGTGTCTGCATACATCGATGTTTGCGTTAGTACAATGACATAAGCAACAAAGTTTCCCCCACCACTTCCACAATAACACCAATACATGCAATCTACATAAACCCAAATTTAAAAAAATTAATCAGTTTGTCTGATTTATCGCTAAAGCGTGAAACCCAGGGTCACAAACTCACATCTATCCAACCAAATATGTTAGCTCTATCTCTGTTATTGAGCTTTCTAATAAGTACCACGCATATAATATATAAATAATTATACATATATATATTTATTTATATTTATATACACTTTTCACACACACACACACACATATATATATATATATATATATATATATATATATATATATATATATAAAAATTCCAACAACCAACAAATACATTCAACACCATCACTTGATAAGACACCAGGAGTGTTGAAACAAAATGGCTATTTATTTTCAAATAAATAATTATATATATCTGTGTGTGCGTGTATTTGCCACCTTACAGTGAGTAATAGTTTGTTTTTTGTTTTTGCTTATTCTTGTTCTTCACCAACCTTTGTCTGTGAAGCCCTGATTTCTAGCCGGGAAAGTTTGTCTGGCAGTTGACAAATCACTTCTCAGCAACTCCATCACCTTCAGTCACTATGTCTGTGGTACTGACCATTTGCATTTGTTCAAACATCTTGAACAAAACAGAATTCAATAGGAATCAGTCAGAAATAGTAGAATAAATTGCTGCAAGCCTTTAAGAATGAATGCTTGATTCTATCTTATTTGTTCACTTAAAGCAATGTCCTTTCATTAGATTTTTTAAAACTTTTCTCTCCAGTTTTAAAGACGTAATTAGCATAAAATGCTTGCAGTTATTGATGCACATTGAGACGATATGCAACCAAAAAAACTCTTCATTGTTATTTTGTTGCAGCATATCTGATAACTACTTTGAATCCATTGTGCAGGCAGGCATATTCCGGATTTTTCTACAAGCAATTTCCACTTGGAAACAAAGACTGCATTTTGAATGAAAAAAAGTTAAGTGATGCTAATGTGATTTGTAATTTAATAAAAGGGAAAAAATATTTTGTTTTTATTTTCTAAAAATGTTTTTATAATTGCCATCAGAATGAAACTGAAAGATACGAGGCCAAATTTGGTGCAAGATGGCCATGACTTCTGTATTTTAATGATATTTATAAAGTATTTTCCCCTCTAGAATTTTTCCTTTTCCTGCTTTTAAATGCAGACTTGTAAGGAAAAACTAATGATAAAATAAATTCATTAAATTATTTAAGATGTTTTTGTTTATAATTTTTGGCTTTTATCTTTGAATAAGATTGTCAGAAAAATTTCTTTAGAAATAAAGATAAAAGTTTACATTATTTACATTGTTTGGATTGTTGTCCTCATAAATTTATTGTCATATTCACAATGTTTAGGCCACTGTATGCTCTGGCCTTCTTCAGGATCTGGCTATATTTCTGAGATGAGATATTGTAATTATTTACATTGTTTGGACTGTTATCCTTATCTTTATTGCCATATTTATGATATTTCAGCCATTGTACACTCCAAGCTTCTTCAGGTGATTGGAATTTCAAACTCACCCTTTATTTTGTCCACTGGGGTAGATTGTTCAAGTAAAAGGTCAGAACGTACAATGACCAAAACATTGTAAATATGGCAATAAAGATAACGACAACAGTACAAACAATGTTTATAATTACAATACCTCATCTCAGTAATATAGAAATATAAGAGTGCTGAATTGCTATGTGATAACATTTCTCTTGTAAAACAGTAAATACTAGACGATCTCACCACAGACACAAAGGTTGGTTTTTGTTGTGTTTGTTTGGCGAAATATCTACAGGTTATTTAATGCCAAATTCTAAATATTTTGTATTCAATTTTATTTTTTGGCAATAATAATGATTTTAATGATAAAAGTATTACTAATTAACTCATAGCTGGGGAGAATAGGTCAATTCATACCTTTCCCAATGGTAATGGCATCTAAGTGAATTTTAGTGACATATCAAAGTCTACAGGTTATTTAATGCCAAAATTTATATATTTTGTATGCAATTTTTTTTTTTTTTTCGAGATGATAATGGTTTTAATGATAGGAGTCTTACTAATTAACCCATAGCTGGGGAGGAGAGATGGATACATACCTTTCCCAATGGTAATGGCATGTAAGTGAATATAACAAACACAGCTGAAATTGAAAGTCGGCTCTCTGATTAACGATTCCAAATGATTATCTATTACACAAAATGCACATCCAAGCTTACAGCACCTGGTATTCCCAAGTGGTCACCCATCTATGTATTGACCAGGCATGACATTGCTTAACTTTGGTGATCATATGGAAACTGATTTTTCAACATAATGTGGTTGTAAGCCAGACACAAAGGAAACTGGAGACAGCAGAAATGTGGTTCCACAAAAGGATACAGAGAATTCCATGGATGGAGTGAGTAAACATCAAGAAAATTGTAAATATCAGCAAGAGAAAGAGATAGCTGAAATTTCTTGAACTAAAAAAATGAGGAAGGATGGCTTGGAGAATTTGACACTCATAGGACATAAAGGTAAAAGGGACAGGGGAAGGTGATGACCTACCTACCTGTCCAGTGTGTATCAATAGACAGTGGAATGTGGGTCGGAGGAAAGGTAAAAAGAGAAACCAACAAGGAAGTATTAAAGAAAATGGTAACAAAATAAACCATTTATGCTCAAAGTCAAAAAGAGCTAAAATTTCTTAGACATTTAGAGGCAGAAAAGGAATATGAATGAGTGCTTGAGACCCTTTATATTAAGTCTTAGCAGCCTTTCCTCTGTGAGGAAGGAGAACATGGGAAACTTACCCCTCACAGGGCATATCAAGGGTAAGAGAGATAGGGGAAGACAGCAGATCACCTACCTGATGAGCTTAGAAAGAAATATTAAGAGATAGAAGGTTGGAGAGAGGCATGGTGGAGTAATGGATACTGGCTTGGATTGAGGAATCGGAGAGCTGAGTTCGAATTCCAGTCGAGTCCATTACATTCACTTACGTACTAATACCCTTGGGAAAGGTGTGAATCCTCTTCTTCTCCCTCCAGCTATGGGTAAATAGCAGGACAGACTGGGTTCTATAGCCTTGGATGGCAACTGGTCTAGGAGAAGGAAAACTCTGAATTCAAAACCTGCGGAGGGTGAATGGAGTCTCTCTGAGCCTTGGTTGGCAATCCATTTAGTGATGGTGTCACGATAAAAACACCCTTGATAGCCCTAGCAAAGCATCAAGAATTCAGCTATTTGACAAGATTATGAACTACACCAATCAAAGTGTTAGCTATGACAGATAAGGAATACTGGAAAGGTGTAGTGAGTTCAATCTCGGCTGAGGCCACAAGATGATGATGATGATGAGAGCCATGATCACCCACTTCCTGGAGAACCAAGATGAAAATAGTAAGTATTATTTTGAAAATGGTCATCAGGAAGGAAAAGCTGGTTTTATTTCCTGTCCTAAATCATATTAACAGTAGTATTGTAATTGTGGGTTCAATCCCTAAGCCCATTAGTAAAGACTCAGACTAAGACAACAGGATAGGCAATGACTGAGATGCACTGAAAAGGAACAAGACTAGATACCCGAGACAAGCAAAATAGAGAACAATCTAACCTGTAAATTAAGTAAATTCAGTTCAAAATTCCCTGAATTTTATCTGGATTGAGAGACTCCTGAAGAAGGCTGGAGGACACAATGGTTGAAATGTTTCAATAGTGACAACAAAGACAAGGATATTAATCTGACTGTAAATACTTATTTCTTTAATGTGCTTTTCTTCTTCCAGTTAAACAAAATAGAATTTTTAACTATTTAATTTTCAATAGTTTTTATTCACAATAGCATTCTCTTTCGTCTACTACGTAGTTAACTCTTTTGTTGGAGATTATCTCCCTTGATTAAAGAACTCTTCTAGACTTAACCATTATAAATAATATATATTATTGTGACAGACTATTCTAGGCAGAATGAAATTTCCTAAGCTACACTGTAGATGGTGTGACAGCTACAGTTTGTTTCATCAGTCCTAAGGTAGAAATGCCTTTAACTATAAAAACATGTATAAACACAAACATTGATTTATAGAACAAACAATAAAAACTATTTATTAGGTGAAGCAACTGGCACTGTGGGGAAAAAAGATGAGCAATTTGTTATGTGAATGGTAAGCACCAGTCATAAATCACATGTGTAAGCTTTTTGGGGGTGTATTTGGGGTGTATTTAGTTTTAGTATGTGAAGTAAATCCAATTATCTATTAGTAGGGCTTTAGTTATCATGTCAAATTCCTCATCTGGGAGTAGTGAATGGAATCTTACAGCACCAATGTGCTTAGCAGATATGTCATTCCTGGACCATCAATGTGATTGTGATAAAGATAGGCACAACTCGATCCCAATTTTAGATTCTTGATCTTCTGTTTGATTGGCCAATTTTGAATTCTTAATTCTGATTTGCTGGTTTTGTTATTTTAATGAAACTAGGTCTGCATGTTGTTTAACCCTAGAACACTAACCATGGGTATATAGTACCCAGCGCAAATTTTCCTATTTTTAATTACCATTTTCAGTACCTGATTTCTTACCTAAATAATATTTTTTTCAGTTTCTATTAATGTTAACTCAAAGTACAAAGTTTGAAGTGCCTGCATGTAAAATATTTTAAATAAAGATTTAGATTTAATTTTCTTTTTTTTTTGATATTTTCAAAATCGGGTATGATATATCCATGGTTAGTAGTGGTATAACTTTAACTGATGGTTAGTGTTCTAGGGTTAAGTTCAATTAGTCAGTTAATTGCCATACATGATACATGCTTGGGCAAACATGTCTCTCTTGATTCATGACTGACTAGGTAGAAGATTTTCCCATAGTAATTTGCAGTTTCTTTCTGCAGGTTGTCAGCCAAAAGCTATAGGACCTAGTTCTGCTGTTCAACCCATAGCTTAATTTGGCTCTCCACTTTTCTCATTTTGAGTCATTATCCAATACACTATGCCACACATTACTTAGATTAGGGCATCTAAATGTCTAGGAGGTAGTAATGGATAGCAGCTTAGATTGAGGAATCAGAGAACCAAGTTCAAATTCCAGTTGAATCCATTACATTCACTTACATGCTAATAACCTTGGGAAAGATATGAATCCTCCTCTTCTCCCCCCAGCTATGGGTAAATAGCAGGACAGACTGGGTTTTCTATAGCCTTGGGTGGTAACTGGTCTAGAAGAAGGACAACTCTGATCTTCCAAGTTGGGGGTTGTGCAGTAGGCTAACAACCTACTCACTTAAAACTGGCTTGTTACAGAAACTGCACTGATATCTTGCGACCCTATGTTTCTCAAGAAATTTAAAGGCATAACATATATATATATATATATATATATATATATATATATATATATAAATGTCTAAGTTAATTAATGCTTTAATCCTAACTACATTCGTCCATGCGCAAGAAAATATCTCTTGGGTTTTTTGAGGTGCAACATGTTTTCTCATGTCTTATTACGCTGCATTTCACTTATAAACCTGACTCACTTTCCTCTATTATACAATTTATCGAGTATTTTTGACTTCCAGTACTTTGCTTATTGATTTAAGTAATAAAGAGATGTCTGGGAATGTCTGTGTTTCTTTTATTACAATCTCAGACTAATCCTATGTGACATTGTTCTGTAAGAAAGAAAAATATTTTATAAATTCACACAAGGCTAAATTCTGTCTGTGTCCCCCACCCTTGCAACATTCTAATATCAGCTCTTTATATATAGCCGGTGTAACAGCAAAATTGTCCAAATCGTTTAACAGCAAAAATTGTCCAATTGTTAGATTAGGCTCTGAACCGTTGTACTTTAGAAATACTTAAAGATATCTTACTGGAATTCTTCAAGGTTTTTTATAACACTATTGGACCCTACTTTGAGCAATAAGAATCTATAATTACTCTCCAAGCTTAAAAGAAGAATTGTGATGAAATTGATCATAAACAAAAATGACATGTTCATCATTAATTAATAATAGTTAAGGATCAGAAGCTCATGAAGGATTGATATAAAGTTCAAATATATTATTCTACGATCATTTTTCAACTTATTCAAGATGTTCTTCACCCTCTCTAATCTTCTAACTTCTAACAAGCTGCTTCACATGTTTCACGTACGATTTTATTTTCAAGTTTTTTTTCACTGCTCTTTGGACTGTCATATCTGAAACTCCTCTCCCATGTGCCAAATATCTTATGGGTTGAGTTGGATCTTTTCTAATTCATCCCTTTAACTCTAAGTTGAAATGATAATTCCTCTTCCTGTTGTGACCTCCTGATCCAATTTCCATCTCTATTGTTCCCTTTTTTTTAAACTTATTCACTGTTCTCTTGATGGTTCTAGAATTGACTTTGAAGATAGAAGCCAGAATATGAATGTTAGTACCATTACTGAAAGCCTGAATGATCTTTTTTTCCTCTCATCATTGCTCATTTGGGAAGAAATTGGGTCTGACACAAAATGATTTTAACATGTTCTCTTTTTAGCTGAATAATTCAAAGTTTTTTCAGTGATTCTTACAAAAAAAACAGTATCAAGATGGCTAAATATCTTATCTCAATTAGTTTTAGTGTTTTTTTTAGATATTAAACATTTTGTAAGATGGATAATTATGCTGTTACACCCAGTATATGAGTAAAACATTGTGTTTACTACATAAGGGATAACTTTTAATTTGCATAACATTTTTTAAAAGCTTGTTTTAATAAATATTCCATCTGTGTTATTTATTTTTAATACAAAGTTAAAGAAACAGCAATATTTTTTAAACAAGTTAACCCCAAGCAACACAGTAAAGCCACTAAGACACAAGGAGTTACTGGGTGTGGAAGAATTAGAAAACAGAAACATTACTAATGAGCTGGAATAAAGGAAGAGTAATCAGAAGGACAGCAAATAACAACTGACGTTGCATTTTTCAATTTGGAGATTTAAGTAGACTGGAAAGCATGGAACTGGAAGAGAGCTCCACAAGTGAGAAATCTTAGAAAAGAAGCTGTTAGCACAGAACTTACAGTTACATCTACCCAAATTGACTATAAATTGATGAGACTTTGTCGCTAGTCTAGTATTGTGCTTAAATTCATAAAGTCTAGGTATCATAACAAAGAGCTTATCTGAACAATTACTATAAAAGTATTTATAGAAAAGGTACAGGAAGCAACTTTATGGTGGTGGGAAAGTGACTGAAGCTGAGATGCCAGATCAGGACCAATAATATTACTGTTTCATCTTTGGATTTGAACAAGGATCTCTAGATATAAAACAGGAGCTCTGGACCATAT